GGGAGAGCAGGCGCGCGGGGCGCTGCTGGCCCAGGAAGGCGAAGGTTAAGGCTTGGCTTCCCCAAGTCGCGGCCCCCCCATTCGCGCTCTCCACGGGGGCCGGGGGAGGAGAAACCAGGAAGGGAGCCGCGCCGGCCACGCCCTCTCGCTCCACTTCCTCAGAACCGGAACGCCTCCCTCCTACGGAGGAGGGTTGGGCGCAGGGAGGGGGGGGGCCGCCGCTGCCTCCTCCTCCGTCACTCTTGCGGCAGCTGCATTGTTGCCGTCATGCCCGCCTCCGCCGAGGCGCCTCCGTTGGCCTTGCCCTACTTCAGCGAGGGTAGTCTTAGGGTTTGTAGGATGGTGGCTGAGCTGCCCCGAGGCTCCTCCCTTTCCCATTTGATCCAGTAATATAGCCTGTGACCAACTTGAAAGGAAACAAACCAGGGGTTCTTCTACGTCCAGAATTCTCAAATTGGTAACAGCTTCTCTATATTTCCACTTTAGATCATTATTTAAAAAGTGATAGTAATTTGCAGGAAAATATGAAACGGATTAGACCGAAAAATACATATTTTACTCCTAACGTTTAAGGTCTTTATTGTTCATTTATTACACATTCTCAGAGCCCAAATAATCTATTTTGAGTTTCATTGTTCTTTTATTGAAGAATAACTTTAAGAGCTATTCATAAAAAAAAAAGATTTTCAAGGACAGAACCAAAAAAAAAACCCACTAAACCAGGCAGTTAAAATAAATAAGAATTAAAAAAAACCAAATGAGAGGAAGTTGGCACAGGGAAAAACTCAGGCGTTAGGTAGTACAGTTAAAAAGAGTGTAGTCAACTGATAATTTGCAAGACTTGAGCAGGGTTGCTGCTGTTAAATATGTTTTCAAGGTCACCAATTCATTGGCCCCATAAGCTTGAAGTGACCTGACAGCACATAACAAGGCCACTGAACTTAATGGTCTATATCCTAGTATTATTATCAATGGGAGCAGACATGTTGAATAAACTACTGAATGGCAAGTCAGTATCTATGTAAATGCCACTGACTCAATAGGCCTGTTCTAGTCAGATTACCAACAGGATTCTGGCTGATGCACCTTATTCTTCAGAAATGCACAAGATTACACTATCAGTTTTCAAAGTGCACTGAAACACAGAGTTTATTTTAGCCTTTCAAATAGCAGCAGAAAGGAAACTATAATAAGGGTATAAACAAAAACAAAAAAAGACAAATGTGAACTTGCAGCCACTCACCTGCCAGTAGCTTCCAATTTCCAATGGCCTGACTACAATGGCCAATGCTCAGGGATCCTGGGAATAGTTGTTGAATATGTGACGAATCCACGTGTTCCCTGGCCAAGGTGCAGATGTTTGAATAAAAGTTATGCATGTGAATCATGGGGCGTCCCTTTTAACAGGAGATTTACTGTATTTTGCACTACTTGAAGTTCCCTGATTATCTTCAAAGGAATTCACTCTCATCCACTTCTCTGCTGACCACACAGATCTATTCAAGGACAACCCCACCTAGGTTTAATAAAAATGAAAAAATCAGCTTAGTGTCATAAATGTACTGATGCTGAATGCTATAGCCACTGAAAACCCTTAGCAATTTCATATACTGTAGCTGCTAGAAATGTTAATCTCAGAAATGATATCAAAAGGATACAGAGCATTATACAGTACATAGTTACGATGCCTGTATGGGTAGATCTGATATTTGTAGTCTTTTTTTCTTTTGTAACCCAGAGATCATGAATGCAAACCACATGCTGGCAAGCACATATATCTGTAAATTCTATTGAAACCAATAGAACGTATTCTGGATAAATGGGCTTAGTTTAAAAACAATTAACATCAATCATACATTAACCTAATGTAGAATCAAAATCACAACTAACCTTTGTGTATTATGACATAATATAGGTAAAGGTTCCCCTTGACAATTTGTCCAGTCATGTCCAACTCCGTTTCCAACCCACTGAGCTAGCGTTTGTCCGAAGACAATCTTCCGTTGTCACGTAGCCAGCGTGACTAGACACGGAACCCCATGACCCTCCCACTGTACTGTGGTGATACCTGTTTATCTACTTGCATTTGCATGCTTTTGAACTGCTAGGTTGGTGGGAACTGGGACTAGCGATGGGAGTCACTGTCACATGGATTCGATCTTATGACTGCAAGGTCTTCTGACCGTGCAGCACAGAGACTTCTGCAGTTTAACCTGCAGCACCACCACGTCCCTCGTGTACTATGACATATATAAATACAGTGGTGCCTCGCTTAACGAGTGCACCGTAGAACGAAATCGCATAGCGATCCCTTTTTTGGGATCGCTAATGCGATCGCTTACCGATGTTTAGATAGGGCGAAAATCGCTTTGCGATGATCGTTAAGCGTTTCGCTTACCGATCTTCGCAAAACGAAGCTGTGGATCAGCTGTTCGGCAGCTCCAAAATGGCCGCCGGAAGCCCCAAAATGGCTGTGCGCAGCGTTTTCGCGCCCTGCCCACGCTTACCGAGGGTGCGAAAATGGCTGCCGGACCCAGGAAGCATCGCTGAACGGTGAGTTTTCGGCCCTATGGGTTTCCCCGTCCCGTTCAGCGATGTTTCGCCATAGCGAAGGTTAATCCGGAGCGGATTAACCTCGCTATGCGAGGCACCACTGTATAAAATACCAAGGGTGCTGTAATGATTAATGGCTCGGAGTGCCAAGTTCAAATAATCATTTGGCCAAGAAACTACCAGGTGACCTTGAACTAGTAACACCGTCTCAGCCTGACCTAACTCATATAATGGTTCTGAAGATAAAATGGGGAGTAGAACTTTCTAAATTGCCTTGAACTCAATGGAGGAAAGATAGTACAGTATATCAATGTACCTATTGTCAAAAAGTATGCTTTTCTTGTTTTGATTTTGCAATTTGCATTTTTTTAGCATATACATACTGGATTGATACCCAATACTGGGTGTTTTCCCAAAGGCCCTATCTTGCTGATGATAGGATATGAAATTTCGTGTTTCTGTATTGGCCCCACAACATTTCTAATACATTATTTCTTATATTTTCAAATTCCACATCAAGTGTGAAACTCATATTTGTTGTTGTTTAGTCATTAAGTCGTGTCTGACTCTTCCTGACCCCATGGATCAGAGCAGCCAGGCCCTCCTGTCTCCCACTGCTTCCCGGAGTTGGGTCAAATTTCGGTCGTCCCCTTCTCCTCTTGCCCTCACACTTTCCTAACATCAAGGTTTTTTCCAAGGACTCTTTTCTTCTCATGAGATGGCCAAATCCAGGAAGCCTCAGCTTCAGGATCTGTCCTTTCAGAGAGCATTCCGGGTTGATTTCCTTCAGGATGGATACGTTTGTTCTCTTTGCAATCCAGGGGACTCTCAAGAGTCTCCTCCAGCACCACAATTCAAAAGCATCAATTCTTCATATTATTGCACCCCTATTATGAATAAATGTCTGTTAGCCACTGGCTTCACGGCCACGCTCTCATGCAAGTATGGCTCCAGTCCATCTTTTTAAAGTATCTTTTGAGCATCTTTTTAAAGTAGGTTTACTTTCGAGTCAATGGGCACTCTCAGGCTATTCGCCTGTCTATGCAATTACTAGCGATTTAGGTTCTGAACAACCCAGGTTTGGAACAAAGTAAACGTATACATAAGAACACACAGAAATCGACTAGCGATCTTGCTTCCTTTTCCAAAAAAGAAATGTGCCGAAAGCGGGAAATTCCTCCCCCCAGACACCTCCCAGCCCTAAGTAATCCCACTCTACCCGAAAGGTACACTCAGCAAATGAATCACCCGGGAGGTAAAAACAACCAGATGGGGAGGAGGGTAAGGGCATGACGCAATCATAAGGCGCAGTGAACGGGCGGAAGTCCTTGGGCTTGCGTGGTCGCCCTTTACTGATGGTCGAAGAGGGGCGCGCGACGCTTAAGATGAGCGGAGTCTCAGTAGCGCGTTCGCTATCATGGCGTCTGTGGTGCTGAGCGAAGCAGAGAAGGTGTACATCATTCACGGTGTCCAGGTAATGACCACGAGGGAAACGGGGCCCTTGTCACGTGATTTAAGGGAGCATTTCTGTGGACTCTCGACTGACGGTTGTGGCGGCAGCGTTTGCTCTAGCTCGGCGATCTCACTGTTACATGTACCCAACCATGTGCAAAGTGTATTTTTTTCTCCACTGGGCTGATTCACATGGTCATTCGTAAGTTATGCTTTTGAGTAGTATGCAGCAGCATACTCCTCAAAAGCATAACTTTAATATATAAGCGTTGCTATCACGTGTTGAGTTGTGATTGTTTCAAATCTTCTCTGGTGACTAACATCCCAGCAGAGATAGTCCATTCCGTGAGTTGGAACTGATCAAGAAATTTCCAAAGACCTAGCAATGTTACCACAATTTAAAGAAATAGTGACATGATAGATTGGCCTGCCCTTTGGATATCCAGTTACACTTCTTGAAATATCAATATGTTTCTGTTAGTAAAAGTACTGAATGTAAACTCTGCATTTTAAAAGGAGTTGGTGATTAGCCTGGTCAGCAGCTTTGAGTAAGTCTTCATTCAGAAGATTGTCTACACCCAGGCTTAGGTGATCAAGAATGAGGTACAGCTTACACAATCTTGCTTTCCTTTTCTGCACCTTGTCTCCTGCATGCACAGGAGGAAGAGAGTATTTTAGAAAAAGTGATAGTTCCACACTATACACAGTTCTTCCTTCAACAACACTGGGGTTAGAGGCGCTGGACCCCCATAGAGTTAAAAATCTCTTATGCCCCCCAAAACATAAGTGCAAAGCATAAACAGTTGATTCACACACACCCCTCCTGATCCTCATCAGCCTCCTGGCCTGCCCCAGCACCTTTTCCAGCTGCCATATGGAGTGGACCACCATCATACCAGGGGCCACGGCACTGCCAACAAAGGGGTTTTAGGTAAGCCCAAGACCCACTTTTTTGAGGCCACCTCCTGGAGACAAATAGTAGCACAGTGTTTATGGATTTTTAAAATTCAATTATTGAAGCATTTACTTATTTATTGAAAGGAAACTGTATACAGTATAATCAAAACTATACTCCTCAGATTTGTGCAATTCAAGGGAGAAGTGTAAACTGATGGACTGCTCCAATCAGAGCAAGTTGACCAAACCAAGAACACACTTGTGTTTAATTTTTATTTCTTAACTAAATATTTGTTATTTTTATCAAATACAGTGTAGAAGAATGGTCTGTTTCAAAGTGAAAGCAGAAATATCATTGCATTCTACACAAACAGAGAGATAAAAAGAAATGTTGATTTGTTGATTTGAGACGTAACAGTTAATTTATGATGATCCTAAACCTTATTTTTTATATCAGAAATCAGGAACTTACAGATGTTGAGATGCTGTTGGACTGCAAGTCCCATCATCCCTCACAATTGTTTGTGCCCACTGCAGCTGATGAGAGTTAGCGTTCAGCAACATTTTAAATAGTTACACACATTCTACTTCCTTCTTTTAGATCATTATCTGAACTAGACCTAAGTATATAATGATTGGGCAGAATGCAAAGATACATTTCTTTTGTAATTTTCCCTAGTCCATAAGTTTATAAATTATATGTAGTCATCTACATCTCTCTGTTAGATAGCAGTAGGTAACAACATTGTGGTGGATATTTTAGGAGGACCTTCGGGTTGATGGCCGTGGCTGTGAAGATTATAGATGTATTGAAGTGGAAACCGATGTCGTATCGAATACAAGTGGATCTGCTAGGGTAAAGCTTGTAAGTATACCTAACAGGGATGGGTATGCATTGCTATTTACGTTATTTAATGTTAACTATCCTGTTTTCCCGAAAATAAGACCTAACCTGAAAATAAGCCCTAGTATGATTTTTCAGGATGCTCATAATATAAGCCCTACCCCAAAAATAAGCCCCGGTTAAGTGAAGCCCCGTCCTCCACCATTATGCAGCAACCAGAAGAAGATGACATGACTGTCTTTGAATAAATGTAGATTGTTGTATATGAAAAAAATAAAACATCCCCTGAAAATAAGCCCTAACGCATTTTTGGAGCAAAAATTAATATAAGACTGTCTTATTTTCAGGGAAACATGGTAAGGATCAACTGCTGTTTATAATGCAAGAAATTGCAGATTGCCCAGTGCCCTTGCCACTGACTGAGCTGTTATAGTGTCATGAACCTTCAAGGAGAAAGTATAGAATTGATTCAGAAGAGGGGACCAGGGTATAAGTTTTTGAAGGTGAGGCAAGGGCTTGAAGAACAGAGGTATAAACCAATAATGCAGGCGTGACCCCCCGGCCCCCCCCCCAAAAAAAAGAGCTGAGGACCTCATAGCTGAAATCTATGGAGGCTCAAGTCCTGTTGTCAGGAGCAAGCTGGACAAGCAAAACTGCTGTAGAGATGGATGCCAGTAAAATGGATAGCGAAGCACCAAGTTAGGCTAGCCAGATGGTAGGAGGATACACAATAACATTGTGGTTATTTGATTTATGTGGTTGGATATTTGCTTACAGCATTCCTAATCATAGAAACAGTTTGGAAGTTTTAGTTATATGACAAAGATGAAGAAAAATATAAGTTATGTGTTTACAGTTACAAATTGGTGATTTCTCTGTTTGAGTAAAACGAGTCAAGGCAAACTCTCTGTTGCATACTAGTGATGTACTTTTTCACTTTTTAAAATTTGTAATTCCCAGAATTCTCTAAAAATTCCCTCTGTGGCCTTCTTGGATTTTCAGCTCATAAACACAAACCTACATACAACTACATCACTCTGACCAGGAGAAGGGCTTTTTTCCGAGCCTGCATTGCCTTCGCAAGTCTTGCTTCCTGTTGTTAATGTAAAAGTGAGAGAGAAGCTGCTGTAGTGCTTCTTGGAAGTTGTAGTGCCACTGCCCATTAGGCTCTATAGAGGGCACCTCCTGAACAACTACAACTTTTAAAAATATTAACAGCAAGAAAGAAGGCACAAGAAGCCAGTGCAACCTCAGAGATAGGTCTTTTTGATGAACAAAATTTGTCTATAGGTATGTATTTGCTGGCCGAAACTCAAAAACCCAAATAGCACACCCATATTCCATATATTAAGGGGAATTTATTATCATTCTTATATTTTGTGGTAAAGTGTACATTTACCGCATACTGAATGAAATCTGAAGATGTCATATAACTTCAGAGTTTTGTAGCCATTGGCTTAAATCCTGTTTATTAGTTACAGAAAAGCATACGTTTTGGTGAGTTGTCTCTCGTTAAGAAATCTCTGTGGCATTGTCTGTTGCATACTGAGTTGTACAATGAGACTATGAACTTCCAAACAAATTGGAAGTGCAAAAGGGGGGGGGGACAGGATAGCAGCTGGAAATAGATAAACAAATAGTCAAGGAATACATTACCACCTTGAATGAGTTCAGATCTCCAGGGTCGGATGAACTGCATCCAAGAGTACTGAAGGAACTGTCTGAAGAACTCTCAGAACTGCTATCCATTATTTTCTTGAAATCATGGGAAACATGTGAGGTGCCAGAGGGCCAGTGTTGTCCCTATCTTCAAAAAGGGCAAAAAAAAAAGGAACCTGGGAACTACAGGGCAGTCAACCTGACATCAATCCCATGCAAAATTCTGGAACAGATCATAAAGCAGTCATTGTGCAAGCAGCTAGAAAACAATGCAGTGATAACTAGAAGACAACATGGATTTCTCAGGAACAAATCCTGCCAAACTAATTTGATCTCCCATTTTGATCAGGTCACCTCCCTGATAGACAGAGGGAATGCTGTAGATGTAATATATCTTGACTTCAGCAAAGCTTTTCAAAAAGTGCCCCATGATATCCTGATTAGCAAGCTATCTAGGTGTGAGCTGGATAGAACATGTGTTAGGTGGATACGCAAGTGACTACAGAATCGTACTGAGTGTGATGATCAATGGGTCCTTCTCTAACTGGGAAGAGGTAACAAGTGGGGTACTCCAAGGCTCAGTCTTGGGCTCGGTGCTCTTCAATATTTTTATTAAATACCTGGATGAGGGAGTGCAGGGAATGCTTGTCAGATTTGCAGATGATACCAAATTGGGCAGAATAGCTAATATCCTAGAAGACAGAAACAAAATTCAAAATGACTTGATAGGATGGACACTGGGCCAAAAGCAACAGAATGAAATTCAACAGGGACAAGTGCAAAGTACTGCACCTCAGAAAAAGAAACCAATTACATAGTTACAAGTTGGGAGATACCTGGCTCAGCAGAACTATGAGCAAGAAGGATCTTGAAATTGTCGTAGATCACAAGCTAAATATGAGCCAACAGTGTGATGTGGCTACAAAAAAGGCAAATGCTATTTTAGGCTGCATTAATAAAAATATAGTTTCCAAATGCCATGAGGTGCTAGTCCTTCTCTATTCAGCACTGGTTAAGCCTTACCTTGAGTATTGTGTCCAGTTCTGGACACCACACTTCAAGAAGGATGCTAACAAATTGGAACAAGTTGAGAGGAGAGCGACAAGAATGATCAGGGGGCTGGAAACCAAGCCTTTTGAGGAAAGGCTGAAAGAACTGGGCAAGTTTAGTGTTGAGAAAAGAAAACTGAGGGGTGATATGATATCACTTTTCAAAAATTTGAAAGGCTGTCATACAGAGGAAGGACAAGATCTGTTCTCGAACATCCCAGAGTGCAGGACACAGAACAATGGGCTCAAGCTAAAGGAAGCCAGATTTTGGTTGAATATCAGAAGAAACTTCCTAACTGTTAAAGCAGTACAACGGTGGAACCAGTTACCTCAGGAGTTCGTGAGTGCCCCAACACTGGAGGCATTCAAGAAAAACTTAGATAATCACCTGGCAGATGTGCTTTGATTGTATTACTGCATTGAGCAGGGGGTTGGACTTGATGGCCTTGTAGGCCCCTTCCAACTTCACTTTTCTATGAGTCTACAGTCAACCCTCGACTTCCAAATGTCCATAGATACAAACGTTTTGATTTATGAACGGCTCCGTTGGCAAAAATTGGCATCGACTTGTGAACAGAAATTCAAATTTCCCACCCTTTCTCCCTGCTTTTTTGCCTTCGGAGCTCTCAAAGGGCTTTCCACCCGACATCGGAGGAAGCCCTTTGGGAGCTCCGAAGGCGCCCATTGTGGCAGCAGGGACTCCCAGGGAGGTCTCCCACAGTGGCGGAGCTCTCAAAGGGCTTTCCCCTGACATAGGAGGAAGCTGTTTGAGACCTCCAAAGCCAAAAAGGCAGGGAGAAAGGGCGGGAAATTGGAATTTCCAGCCCTTTCCTCCTGCTTTTTGCCTTTTGAAATGCTGGAACGGATTAATTCCGTTCCCATGCATTTCAATGGGAAATGGTATTTCAGCTTACGAACTGTTCGACGTACAAACGTCGTTCCAATACGGATTAAGTTCATAAGTGAAGGTACCACTGTATGTTAATATTTTAGATTTCCTTCAAAGCAGTGAAATAGCCATGTTCTGACATGTAGAATTTCATAATTAACAGCCTAATTTCAATACAAGTTTTAGTTTCCTAAGATGTACTAGGTAATGGAAAGTTAGATGAATGTAAGCCAGTAAATACCACAAGACTTAGAAAACATATCTTACACAATGCTGTGTTTTAACAGGGGCACACAGACATTCTGGTTGGAGTCAAAGCAGAAATGGGAGCACCAAAATTGGATAGACCAAATGAAGGCTACCTGGAATTCTTCGTTGATTGGTTAGTGCAAAGTACTCATGGCAAATTATGTCTATATGACTATAGACTGGTAATGTTGACATTGATGTCAGTAGTGGGGCAGAGGACAGTCTGTTGATTTCCAAAGTTTCTGTGCCAGGGAAAGAAGGTTTTTTTTTGTTGTGGTGGTTTTATATAGTCTGCCCTTCCTTCAACAAGTTCAGGGTGGCATACAAAATGTAATCACATTCATTTTAACATAAATGTTTTATAAAGATCTATGATTTATGCATGTTTGCTTCAGAATGATTAATATCCCCAAAGCCACCTAGCAATCAAATTTGACAACAACTTTTCTTCCCTTCCAATCTTGTGCAGCCTGTTTACTGGTACTCCCTTACTTGTGATGTCTTGTTTTGCCCTCCCCCCCCCCAATAAGCTGAAATCCTGTTGCATAGCTTTGTCTGTGTAGTGAGAATGACTTTGGTGGGTGGTGAAATTATCAAGCCTAAGACGTGTGAATTAATTTAAGGATTTTTTCATGGTGTTTGCCCTTTTTTCAGAACAGATGCCTTATGGAAGTGACTGTGGGGTGGGACAATATGATTGCTAATGTGGCCGCAGAAATATAGCTATTGCCTGTTTCATGGCTTGGGGCAAAGAGAAACCAGTTGGAAATAGTGGAGTACAGTGTTACTGCCTACCACTAGATGGTGCTAATTGAACAGATTTTTAACATCTGGAGCACTTTTTAATGTGATGTACTGAAATTTCCTCTGGTTGATTATAGTTTTACCACAGATTTTGATTATTCCGTCACTCCCACCCCTGATGTCCTTAACACATTTTTAAAAGTTACCAAATTATGAACTTACTTTGAATTGAAATTCTGGACCTTCTTGTCTTTCTGACTTCTAAAGAGGGAATTTGCATTTTCCAATAGCATGTTTATTTTGTACATTAATTACCATTGTTGTTCCAAAGTTTATTGCGATCAAAGACCAATAAAGCTAAACAAAGCATACAAAGATAACAGTATAAATTATGAACTTACTTTGAATTGAAATTCTGGACCTTCTTGTCTTTCTGACTTCTAAAGAGGGAATTTGCATTTTCCAATAGCATGTTTATTTTGTACATTAATTACCATTGTTGTTCCATGTCAGCAGCCCCACTCACGTGGGGGGTCATACACTTGACCTGGTTTTTTCTACCAATGGGAGTGAGAGTGGTCCGATGGTGACTGACCTTGAGTCAGTACCCTTGTCATGGTCGGATCACCACCTATTTATTTTATTTATTTATTTATTGGACTTATATACCGCCCCATAGTGCTACAAGCACTCTCCGGGCGGTTTACAATTTTAATTATACAGGCTACACATTGCCCCTAATAAAGTGTACCATTAAAATGGCTCTCCCCCCCTGCAGGGAGCAGGGATCTATTGTTATGGTCCGCCCTCGAAGGCTACTGGATCTGATTGGATTCCAGGATGCCATGAGAGGTGTTACGGCTGACCTGGCTGGCGCTCCTGTCGAGGCTCTGGTGGATGGCTGGTTTGCTGCCGCGACTAGGGCTGTTGACATGATCGCACCTAAACGCCCTCTCCGCTGCAGAGACCGCCCAGCACCCTGGTTTAATTGGGACCTCCGGGCGAGGAAGCGGGTCAGGAGACAGCTAGAGCGCAAATGGAGAAAGGTCCCGACGGATTTCAATAGGATAGCTGTCAGGGTCGCTACTAACCTTTATCTTGCTAAGGTAAAGGCTGCTAGTAGATCATACCTCGCTAACCGGATAAGCGAGGCATCCAACCAGCAGGCGGAGTTATTCCGTATAGTACGCGACCTATCCGGAATTGGTCCGGGCGATGGGCCTCCCCCTAGTTTTTCGCCGGACCAATTTGCAGCATTTTTTAAATCAAAAGTGGAGGCCATCCGCCGGGACCTCTCTCCTTTTTTGAGCACAGTGAGTCGAGCTGAGATGTCCAGCGCTCCGTCTTGCCCGGTGATTTTGGACACCTTTCAGCCTGTT